ATGATTTATTAGACATAACAAGCACAAGTAATATCAAAGTCGTTTTTGACCATAAAAACGTTATATAAGCCTTTTTTTGTACCTTGAAAACCTTTGCCAGGGACAAAAGTATTTGAAAGAAGCAACAAGTGCACTACATTTGCTTGTCAGCTCCTCCTGAAAGTTTTTGTCTTTACACTTAGATCCAGATGAGTAAGCCACCTCTTGCATCTGGGTTCGTCTTTAGTGAATTTTGGGTTGTTATACAGTTGACTCGACTCGCTTGTGCTTGTTTTATAACTTTAAGTTAATAGTAAGGGAGGGAGGGGTGGGGGATCCGACGTTATTTCTAGTATAGCAGAGGGGGGTGGGGGTAAGAGCTATTTTCTTATGCTTCGGAGGGGGGAACTGGCTAATTTTCTGCTTGAGAAATCTGGTTTTATGGTCCCCTCCTCCTGGTAATTATTGCACAGTCCCTTATTATGTAGCATGATTTTGGCGCTCAAATGACGTTCACCTTCCTGTCATCATTATAGCATATTATACTTCATCCCGATTATTAACCGAAGGCTAACGCAAATTAGGTTAATAACATTATTAAACATATAACACGTCTGAAAAGTTGTTGTCGGACGTTTGTTTTATATAATCACTTATTGGCAACAACCATAAAACTAAAAAAACCGTAGGAGTGTGTGCGTCATCGCGTCAATCCAACAATCCAACCAGTACAACGGTCATTGACCAAAGTCTACTGCCCTCTTCGACGATTAAAGGACCATGGTCTCTCCCTTATACTAGTTAGTTTTAATAATAGTATTTTTATAATACAATTTTTTTTTGTCCTAAGATAGTGATTCAGATAGTATAAGGAGTAGTAAGGCTTGTTGACATGTTGTTGACAGAAATTTAACAGATTGTAACTTTGTAGCTTTGTAACTTCGTAACTTCATGACTTCATAACTTGTCACTCTATTTCCAGGTAGCCAACTAGTCCTCTTTTGAGTCTCATTATTGGTTAACAATGAAAACCACAAAAAAATAAATGAGGGAAAATTGCTTTTTTAGCCTCCCCCGATTTTTTTTGTAAATACGGCTTTCGGAGTGCAATTTGGGAAACAGCCATACATATTTGGTGAAATATTATCGTATTGGATCCATATTTTGTATAGCTCTGCTCTTGATAATGAAATGACATATCACTTTTACATTCAATGTTTGGTCAAGCACTTAGATATTCTTTTAAGCTAAAATGATACTTTGTCAATCACCCAATTACTGTTATAGTAGAATTGTTTTGATGCTATACTGTAAAATACCACAGTACAGCACTTCTATGCGGCGTATCAGTAAAAAAAATACAATAGAACAATGTTTGATCAATCCACATGCTAATCAGGTCTGTATTTGGTTGAATCTTAGGGATATTGGTAAAAATTTGGTACGTTCTATTGGAAACAGGACATTCTTGGCTTTCCCAAAACTGAAAGTTTTGTAAGTTTCTGGTTAATCGTATGAGGAAGTAGCTGATCCAGCTACGTTCCGTAGAGAAATTCTGAATGGAAAGCAATTTACGTTTTGAATTGTCATTTTGTGACGTAGCTAACGTGTATCTAATTGCAACAATGCATTGCGGGCTTCGAATGCACTAATTCACTATTCAAAGTTTCTGAAATAGCTATTTACATGCATTTCTTTGGTTTTGTACTTAATGGACACTTTTTAATCTTCAGAAGTCTTCGTGACAATTTGATCACATTCCTTCACGATGATGCTTTCCAAAACAACACGGACCTATCCTCTCTGTAAGTCATTTAAACGAAACTCGATCATTCTCATGCATACGAATGAAGATAATTATCTCTATAACACCTTTGCATTAAATAATCACTTGATGTTCAATATAGGAATTAGGTTACGATTCCTACTTGAAATTTAGTATGAGCGTTGTCGTGTGTATCCTATATAAGCAAGTTCTATGTTTCTTATACATTTATTGATGTTTACAATATATACATATATTTTTTTCGTTTAAAGTGGGTTAATGGCAGACGTTATC